CAAGAGGCGGAGGATTTCCTGCTGGGTACGGTGGACCTCATGCTCAACTCGCCAGACGCCTTCGAGACAGCTCTGGCGTCCCACGAGCTAAGTGACTCATAGGCAAGCGTCCGAGTGAAGTAGAACCCCCCCCCCATGACCGTAGCCGGCGTTGCCAAGTCTGTTTTCANTTCTCGCGTCCAGAAGTCTCGTTCGCCGTGCGTGCCGTAGCGTGCCACGCCCACACCCCGGCGAAGAAGCACTGGGATGCCATACAGAAGATCCTCGGCTACTTAAAGGAGACGAGGGACCTCGGCATCACCTACCAACGGGGATCGGGGTTAGGGTTGGCCGTGCACGTAGACGCTAGCTACCCCGACACGGAGGATAGGCGTTCGGTGTCAGGGTTGGCGACGACGGTTGGAGGTACCGTAATCTGCCATGGTAGCAAGACACAGAGCATCTTTGTCTTCGACGGAAGCCGAATACATTGCTGCCGGGGAGGGCGTCAAGGAGGCGTTGTTTGTGCGTGCTGTGCTTTCGTTTGTTGCCCCAGAGACCAGAGGTAGCAGCATCCAGGTCCTTGAGGACAACCAGGGGGGAATAGCGTTAGTGCAGAACCCCCTCAGCTCAGGTTGCACGAAACACGTGAGGTTTCATTTCATCCGCGGATTGTTTAGGTCGGGGAATATGACGGTCAAGTTTGTTCCGACAACGGAGCAACACGCGGACCTCCTTACCAAGGCCCTTAGCAGGGTCAGCCTGCAGTACCACCGGCGCAAGTTGATGAATTCGCCGGAGTAGCTGTAGCAGTTTTTATCACTTGCCTTGGACTTCCTAATAAGTGCGGACGATGTGATACGCTGTGATAGCGACGGTTTTTGTGGTGGTAGGGGTTTATTCCAGGGGTTTTGCCCGGACGCCGGGTTTCCCCTCCATATATTTCCATGTTGGTATTTTTGATGTATCCAGGGGCGTTCTTGCCCCATTGATGGTCAGTCACTTGCGTGAAGAACGAGGGAGGGTGTTCGTGGGTCTGCGAACATTGGTGTTGGATACATGTACTGTATGATTTTGGTGTCACGCAGATTGATAAGATTGCCGTTTGGAAGGGGG